TCCATAGGAAATACTCTGTATCAGTACTCCGTAGTCCATACATTATAGGCTTGTAGCTGCTGTAATGGACCATTAATATCAATTTAAAGTTTATTATGGAATGTATCCCAGATTCTTTAGGGTAACCGTACATTATGATTATCATTTTCGGGGAAATGTGCATTATGATTATCATCTCTGGGGGCTATGTGTGATCTTATCTTCATTCATTTCAGCTGATTGAGAGACGTAAAGTTTATTAAAAAAAATTATTAAAAATGGGCTGAACGTAACATGATTATATTATAGTTAACTACTGATTCTTTTAGAGTATTTTAGGATATATACTTGGATCTGTAGTTAACTGCTGATTCTTTTCAAAGTGTTTATTTTGAGGGTTCTGTCAATTACGATTTTAAACTATTTTACTGTTTTATACTATGTGTTTAAAACTATGTGTATTAAACTATTTAAACTATTTTCTCATAAATGTTTTGCTATTAAACCGAAAATGAAAATAAACCAATAAACCAAATAACTTAAAATCAATTGAAACTCAAAACAGTTGTTTATCTTTTGTATTTTTATTACAGTTAGCATGTTTTGTATCTTTATGTGTTAGCATGTCCTGGACTTTAGGGATCAATCATTTATTTGAAAACATAAGTGTGTATAATGTAAAAATGAACATGCAGCAAGCAATTTGTGCTGACCAGAATTAAGGAGATAATAATGGGAAATTTTCACGGGCCTTGGACTTCGTTTCAAAATGCTTCGGAAGAGCAGCGAAATCGATGGTGGTTTTTGTTTACGGTAACTGATTGAATTTAATTGAATTAATAAGTTTTGGTGTTTGCTATAAAATCTAATATGTTTTGTTTTAATTTTTATTTGTGTGTATTGTATTAGAACTCATACCGATGGGATCCTCGGCTCAACATAAAGATGAGGGAGCTGTTTGAGTCCCGGGGCTCTCATTGGTTGAGTAAGAAGTTAACGAAGCATAGAGGAAGCGATGTGAAGCCAGCCTTGAAGCCAGATTGGGTAGCGGACAATTATTGGCTGAAAATGACAGTATATTGGGCCAGTGACGAGTTTAAGAAGAAGAGTACTGTTGGAAGTAAAAATAGGAATACGCCTGCTGCTATCCAGTCTCAGTACAGAGGTGGTAGAAGTTGTGTGGATGCACATGCTGAAAAATTGGTAAAAATAGTCATAGTTGTATTGGTCTTTTTTAAATTAAAATATGTAATTAATTAGTATCTTCTTCAATTCAAGGCCGTGGAGTTGAATCGGGATCCGCTCTCTATTGAAGTTTATGAAAAGTGCTATGTCCCCAAGACGGGTGATCCGCCGCCTCGTGTTCAAGAAGTCCTCGTGAGTAGTTTTTTAATTATAAAATGTTTTATTTAATGTATTAACATAAATTTTTTTTTATGTAATGTATTAACTGTTTTCTAATTTTTTTAGAGCAAGTACAATGATCTGAAGGAGCAAGCTGCCAGTCAATCGGATAGTCAAATATCTGCAGTCGAAGACAATGATCTGTTTTTGAAAGCCACGCCAAAGTACAAGAGCCGCCGGTTCGGGCATGGCAGTCGGGCTAAAACTACAGTGCTGGAATCATCCTCGGTGATCGGCCCTTCTGGTCCTACTCCTGAAGAAGTTGAAGCAATTCAACAGAAATTGCAGACCCAAAATGATAAAATACTTCAACAAGAAAAAAAACAGCAGGAATAAGATGCTTAAATGGCTGCTATGTGGGGTTGCTTTTCTGCTATTTTACAGCAGTTAAAAACTACTAACCCCAACATAGTGATACCCGAGTTTCCCTTCCAGACTCAGCCAGCCTCGACTCAGCCAGCCCCGACTCAGCCAGCCCCGACTCAGCCAGGTGAAATGAATGTTGATGAGTTTTTTGCTGATGAGTTTCCCACTCTTAATGGTCTGTAATGTTAATACCTCCCTCCCAATGGTTTGAAATTTAGTACCTCCTTCCCAAACACTTATTTTTGCTGTTTTTGATGGATTTATTGGGGAGATCGTGATGGATACTAATATTCAATGTTGATGATTTCAATGCTGATTTTTTGCTTGTTTAATATGTTTGGTTGGAATGATGTTTACTGGTTTTTTTTTGTATGAAGTTTGTGTGGTTGGAATGATGTTTGATTGTTAGAGTACCTTACCTTTTTTTGTATGAAGATTGTGTTGGGTTGAATAATGTTTCTGATACAAAAAAAAGGCCCATATATCTATATGGATATATGTGTATATCTATATTTATATATGGGCCATTTTTTTATTAATAAATTTCAATTTGGCACGGCTTCTATGTGCCCATGTTTAAAACCACATATCAAAGATGGCATTCTTGGCACATTACCTCTGTGCCAACATTCAAAAAATTCATTATAGCTTGAAAGAATTGGCACGGCTTCAGCGTGCCACACTCAAACTTTTTAAAACGAGGACATACCGTTGGCACAACGTCCCCGTTTCAACATTCAAACCTCTCCTAATTTTGGCTCCTAAAATGGCGTGCCAAAATTCAAATTTATATGCGAGAGTTGGCACAATTCTCGCCGTGCCAACTTTTAACAGAAACTTAAGAGTGATTCCGTCCATCCTTTTGGCTCTGTCTCATCTGTGCCAGACGCCATGCCTACATTTGGCACGGCATAAATACGTGTGCCATTTGATTTGGCAGGCCTCAGGTGGCACCCCTTCGGTGTTTGTGCCAACGCCGTGCCAATAACGATAGGCAGGGCAAAAAACTGAAAGCTGCCGTGCCAAATGTTGTGCCAAATTGACATTTTTCTGGTAGTGGTAGTACGGAGTATGATAATACGATCATATAATTATCGTATGCATGCATATAATGAAGGTCTGAGAACTTTGAAGTTGGAATTAGACCATTTTGTATCATACTCCTTATTTTTTGAATATGACACTCCGTACAAAATTATAACTACTTAGATTATTATTATTTACTAAATAAAAAGAATAAAAATGATAATTGCAAATAACAATTCTTTTAATTTTGCATGTTTTTCTAAATTTATTAATAAATAATTATGGCTTAAATTATGTTAAGAATTGTTATCTAACAAAAAGAAACATGTTTAACCTCTGCTAATAGCCTAGTAGCCTAGAACGTAAGAAAACTATGGAGGCAAGAAAGACCAAGAACTACGAAGTATTTTCCGGAAGAAAACTAAATGAATAGATTAGGAATATTGTGGAAACGCAAAAATCCAAAAGCTATATTTCTTAACTTTTTCAATTTTAACGGTTTGGAACAAAATGTCAAATGAAAAAGTCATTTAACCAAACACATTATTAATTAATGAATTTAGTCAAAGAGCCAAATTATAATCAAAACAGTCAAAAATTGGTTGATCCGCCACTAACCAAACACCCCCTATATGTTTGATTTGAGATGATTTTGTTAAGTCACCCCACCAACCATAACCATGTTTGAAGTATATAAAGACATAAACTCAAGTGTGAAATTTTCCATTAGTAGTTTCATTAGAATCACATTTCGGATGAAACCCAATACCTTTGAAGAAAAAACTTGAGTACTTAATCTTCCCAAGTTATTATTTGTTCTACTTAAATACTAGATCCTTATAAAGCTCGAAAAGCCATTGCTATACAGTAACACTCGTGAATAATACTTCGTATAATTTTTTTCCGTAGCAGTGTGATGTAACTCATGTGTGAAGAAATGTAACTCACGTTGATAATAAATGTAGTAACTGCAGACCAGTCAAAAATCGAAATGAAACTTGTCCGATACGGAGTATAAGAAATAAAACATTGGTTTCAATGTAAACGATAAAAAAAGAGTCCAATTGCTCAATTACTTAACGTAAACAGTGAATGTCTTTTGTTTTTAAAACCAGGGCCTATAAAAATGATCTTCAAAAAAATCATTTTTTTTGTTTCAATACCAGAAGTTTATCTCACTTTATCTTGTGATGTAACTCGTGTTCCGTTGTGAAAAATGTAACTCGCTTTGATGAAAAATATAACTTACGCGTATGCAAAATGTAAATTGTTGAAGCACATAAAAAGAAAATGTAACTTACATAAGATGTAACTCGCACATAAATAGATGTAACTCGCGAATGAGTATAATTCGTTCATAAAAAGATATAAGACTCGCATAAGAAGATGTAACTCGCGTATAAAAAGATGTAACTTGCGCTTATAAAAATGTTACTTCAAATGTACCCATCAAAATAGATTAACCCCATTTATTAGCCATTTATCAACATTTTGCAGTATATGGGCCTGTTGGGCCCACGCTTGGAGGCCCAAGCCCATTCTTCTCCTATAAATACCCCTTTGGAGAACCATGTAAAGGGTTCACAATTCATTATATACACTCACTTCTCCTCTGGCTCCCTTCTCTATAGACAATAGTCTATCACATAGTTCACATATTATGCCTTTTTTGTGACAATTGGGAGATAAAATATGTCATTATCATCATTATCATAGTGCCGCAAAAGCTTTCCACCTACAATGTGGTAAGAGAAGGTCATATGTATGCAATCTTATCCATATACTAAAGCACAAAGAGACTGTTTTCAGGGGAGATAAAGGGGGTGTTTGGATCTGATTCTAAAACTGCTTTTGCTCCTTCAGGGAGCAGAAACAGAAGTTAGAGTGTTTGGGAAAGTGCAGAAGTGATTATGATTCTCTAATTTACTCCTAGAATCAGTTTTTTTAGAAATTGAGGGAGACCAGCTTCTGAAAACTGATCCTAATTTTGCTTTAAAAAAGAAGCAAAAGCAGAATCAGTTGCAAACACCCCCAAATTTGTTATCATGTGAGGAGAGTTGGCCTCTTTCTTTTTGATTTTTTGAACTTATTTATTTCTTTTTAACATGCCTAAACATACTTAAGACAGCCTATTTAGACAGTTCAAACTGTAACCAAATGAAGAAAAGGTAAATAATAGTCAGGGTGCGTTAAAAGTGGGGCACCGAAAGCTATCGCAATTGCTGCTGCATTGATTCTTCTTTTAGCATTAGTATTATATATATAGCAGTATAGCACATTAGCACTGTCCTAGGCTAGGATGTTTGCAAATGGTGATCAAAACTACAAAATGAGTAGTGGATTAGTATATTGAAATGTCTATTCATCATGATCAACATGCAAGTGAGACATCAAGATCGCAACCACAACTGCTGCAACAAACACGTAATACTTTCTCTAATGAAATGTCTACTAAACACAAATCTCCAAATTTTACATGTGAAAAGTAAAAACATCTGTGCAGTTGCAGTTTCCGAGTCTCATATATTCTTTATAACTTCTGAAGAATGCAACAGAGAGAAATGTGCATGTATTATACAAATGGCCATTGTACATACCCTTCACTCACTTTCATAATCATCTTCATCTCCAAATGTAAACACAGATGCATCAGCAGCCATGATCTTGAAATCACTTATCCCAGTATTCGGGACATCGAGCCCTGAGGGATTTGGTGCCACATCATCATTCTTCTTCTGCTCATTATGTTTCATCCCTGAATCTCCAAGTGTTACTTGTTCCGTCTTATGTGTTAAAGCAGAGATTTGAGGTGTTCCAACTTTATTACTGTTATTATTATTATTCCCTGAAGAGGATTCAGAAGCAGCAACAGTGACTTGTTTATCTTTTGACTTTCTTGTTTCCCCAGCCTCATTATCAGAAAACACATCATCCTTCTCATTTCTTCCAACTGATTGTTTGTTTGAGTTTGTCTCATCAGGTCCGTATGGCTCAGTGGGAGGATTGACGCTTTGACCAGATGATTTACTAGTGACATCAGTTTCTGCTTGAGATGTCTTTGCAAGAGCAGCGTCATAGTCCTGGAGCACAATTTCCACTTGGAAACCAGGTGATGGTAGTTTTCTCTGGTAAAGAATGGTCAATTATATAAGCAAAATAAGAACATAAAACTCCGAATTGTCAGCATTGGTAAGCAGTTACCTTGTCAAACCCATCAAGATCGCTAGTGTTGAGGATTTTCCTGTTCTCAACCATTGTTGTGTTTAACCAGCTTAAAAGGAAGAGGAACAAGACAGCGGACCATAGCCAAAAGAAGTTAGATCATCTCTTGAGAAGAAATTGAATTACTACATCTTCTACAATATGTAATTTGAAGTATTATCTGCTTTTCTAATCCAATATCCTGAAAGGGTATAGGAGCTAGGCAAACAAAGGCATGTTGCCTGTTGGCCTACAAATATAATTTATATATTTATATCTTCATATAAACCTATTATAACCTGGAATATTTTTAAAACTCGAGTTAAAATGTAGGAATAATTAATTAAATAGCCCAAACACATATGTAATTTAAATACCCTAAATTAATATAAAAGATTATTTTAACACAATGGTCATATATTATTTATTTCTCAAAAATGTTAATTTATGTTGTTGCATAATTTAGAATAAAAATTAAAAACACTGCAATTATATAGAGTTATATAGAGTGGGGGTAGTATTATTTATTTTACAATGGAAGTTTAGAATGTTAATTGTATCTTCATGAATGCTAAAATATTTTAAATTATGAAACTAACACCAAATATTAATATTTTTGAAAGAAATAATGCATGATCAGGGTGCTAAAATAACTTTTTATATAAAATTTAGGGTTATTGAATTACATATGCAAGTTTGGGGTGCTTACCTCACATCCCTTTAACGTTTGGGGTATTTTAATTATTTTTCCACAAAATGTATATTAACTTTACATGACAAAATTAATATTATGAAGATAATTAAATATTGTATTAAGGATTAAATATACTGAATATAGAACCTAAGAGGCATCTCAGTTTTTATGAGGGTATAACGAAACACCTTCATTTTGATTGTAATTGTCTAAGTCAACCCCTCACAAAAAGTGCAGTTTGAGTGGCAAGACATTTCACCAAAATGAGATTTTCGTCCAGTTTGAAACCACCGAGATTTTCTTAAACTTCAAGTTAGTAAAATACCAGTAAAAGTCTCCCTGCCGATCACTAAAATGAACTTTGAAATCCCCAGATAACTCTGTAAGGCCGGGCTCCCCAGGAAGAGCAAAAACCACCACCCCTTTTCTCGGTGCACTAAACCAATAGTCTTCAGGCTGCACAAATGAAAATAGAAGGTACAAAATTCAATCAATAGCTAAATTAAGGGAAAATTCACATAGATAATCCCAACTATCAACCGTCTTCCAATATTAATCCCAAATACACATAATTCTAAAATAATCTCAAATTTAGGAGTGGTCTTCCCGTAATGATCCGGTTTACCGGTAACCTATTCAAGTGGTAAAAAATTAAAATAAAAACAAAAAGCTAACCGTCGCTTTGTCCATTTTTCGCCCGAGTCGGTTTTGTCAATAAGCTTCTTCCGTAATAGCTGCTCCATAAGTTTCTCCTCTCTATTTTTTATTTTTTCTTTTCTCTTATTTTTTCTCCATCCACGGCGCATGGAGATCTCCTCCAACCTTCCATTTTATTTTCAAATTTGTTCCTTAAATTTGTAGTTCATTCTTTCAATTTCATATTTGTAAGATTTAATTTGGTAAATCCCAACTTAAATTAGACATTATTATGCATCGTGGTTGATGATAAAACTTGAGTGGTGGAAGAAGGACGATGGATACCAGGCTAGCTGGCAGCGATGAACAAACTAATGGCGCTTGAGATCAACGGATCGGAGGGCCGGTGTTGACGAACAACCGAGATGAACGACGATGAAGACGGTCGGACAGCCGACGTCGAAGGGCGGCTGAGTCAGATTGTCCCCATTGAAGATCTGCAGGGACGTGCTGACAACCTTGCTCGCCTGAAACATTCTACGCCCAAGCCCTCATGGAAAGGAGATGAAGAAACAGTAGGAAAACAATAAAGAAAAACAAAAAAAAATTATAATCCAATTTAAGTATGACACGTGTCCAGGTGACCTACTGTAATGGTTTATTCAGGTCACCGGCTTGTTTTGGGAAGATGCCTATTATAAATTAGATTATACTAGAATTACTAATAATTGAGATTATTATAAGAAGAGTCGTAATAGTTGGGATTATTTGTGTGAATTTTCCCCTAAATTAATAGTACTATCACAAGTTTTTAGCCCAGTCATCTTCTAAGGCCCACTGGGTTCCACTGCAACAGAATTTTGACACGCATTGTATAGTGCCTTGTGATGATTAATGGAATTATTTATCAGAAAAATATCCACAAATCACAAGACCTACCAGCATATCCTTAGTTCGTGGGTGTTTCTTTGATGAAAAAAGCACACCTACGAAGAAATAAAACATTTTAGAATAGAGAACAGAAGTGTTCAATTAATACAATAACAATATAAATAATCTTACATGATGTCATTAAATGATTGGAATGTCAGCAATAAGATGATATAATTTATAGCTTGAATGTGTGTATGAATGTATAACTCACCATTATGATCAGAGACTGTAATCGAGGGCCTGATCCAATAAGGGCATTTATGGAGTCGAAATCCCCTAAGCATGCACCTGCAATAATGTCATTGAGCAACGACAAAAAAACACAAGATGTGATCCATGGATAGCAACCGAAATAAATTCAAATAAATTGCCTTGTTTGAATGTCCTTGTTTCCCTGATTACAGGAAACTACCAATTTTGCAGAGGAAATGTATCATTTCCATAAGTGCAGTTGACCATGGATCAGAGGTAATCTTACCTGCGTGCAGGCTGGTTCTCTCCATTGAAGTACATTAGGATACGTTCAAAATACTTGACATACCTCTATCACAAAAAGAAGCCAGTGGTGAGAATTCTTTAATAAAAATAGATGAGGGAAGGGGTTAAAACTTTTTCTGTTTCACATACAATCTGACTTGGCAGGACAAGGCCTTTCCCATCAATGCACCTTTTCTGATTGTAAGAGTTAATACATTCCTCAGCTGTTGGGAAGAACTGCATGAAGATATGATGAAACAAAACTTATTCTCACAAATAATTGTCCAGCGCAAACAATATGCACCATAACCGTAGAGCAAATATATACTGCACCTTTAAATACAAAAGAAGACTTGAGATCATTAAGCCAGTCCTTGCCATTCCTGCCTTACAGTGAACAACCACAACATTTTCAATATCTTCCTTCAACCATGAATATGCACTTTGACAAAACAACATTATGAGATGAATTGGAGGACAGTTGTGGTCATCAAATGGGAAACTAGCCACCTGAAGATATATCAAAGGACATGTAAATTATGATACCACAGTAACAGAAATGCTCATTTCCCTTTATATGAAAACAAGGTAAAATTTTCTGAAGAACTGAAAACACACCTTCCCCTCGAACAATGATACATCATACAATCTCTCAGAACAAAGATTGTACACTTTGTATTTGTCCTGCAAAATGGTTGTTATAGAGAACAATAAAAGATTTCCTATGAATGGATACATTAAACATAAAAGAAAATTGAAAAAAAAAAACATTAAAAACAGACAATGTGTGACACTCAATGATCATTAAAAATGTAGATTATACAAAGTAGATAGGATAACGAGCATACCTTATGATGAGTCTCAAAAAACTTGATCACTTCTTCCATATGATTTCGATAGAATCCCTATATCCCAAAGCGTTTCAATTTAGAACTAATTACAGAATGCAAAAGCAGTTGATTATTTGTAATTGTTGTGAAACACAATTTTCTCACCTCAACATACCCGAAAAATCCAGAGCTCATATCGCCAGCCGGGAATCCCATGGCAATTATATTCTCAGTAATGTATGTCAAATCTAAATCAAATCCACCTTCCTATGAAAAGAAACTGTACTGTAAGATCATGAAACATTTCGAAGCAAATAAAGTATGAACATCCAAATGTGATACAAGGATATTGCAAGATGCTCATACACTTCACAGATTAAGGCATCTTTTTCATATGTCAGATTTAAAGAAACAACTCACCTGGTATCTTCGTTTATTTTGAGAAACAACATGTCTAGCCTTGACAGACACAGCCTTTACTGCATTCTTGGAAGAGTCAACTAGTCCTTTTGTAAATGTTCCTAGAAAGCTAGATTGAAGATTGGTTGAAGTTCCTTCAGAATTGTCTTCTGTAGGTGACTTTGGAGATGAATGCATTCCAAACCCACTAGTGAAGCGGGCAAATGATGATTTTGCTACACTTCCTGAATCCTCATCATCTTGAGATCCTGTGAATGGTTGAGGGATATTTAAACTTCTAGCCCATGTGGATAGCTTAGAAGGTCCATCCTGTGCTGGTGCAGAGTTCACATTGGAGCTTGCGACATTAGTAGTTGTGGGAGGATGTGCATTTGATACATTGGATGCTTGTGTATCCATTGTGCTGGCCAAATTGCTCAAATGACAACTTTCAAATAAATGTTCATCAGGCTATCACACTTAACTTTCCATCGAATCTGAGGAATCTACATTACACATAAGAAAAGAAATTATAGAATCACAAAAAAAGAACATTTAATACACAGGTATTAGAGTTAGTTGCATTTTAACCATTAAAAAATAGGGGAGAATAAACTAGGAGGAGGCTCATCTCCCCTCTCCATTCCCAATTGGATAATTTTCTATGAATCAACTTTATAGACTTTAAAATCTTTTAGTGTGCTAAAGGAAATGTTTGTTTGTAGAAACTGAAAGCTTCACTACCCAAGGTTGTCAAAGTCAAGCGCTTAAGCGCACCAGGCGCAGCGCAATAGAGGTCCAGCGCTTGAAAGATGACCAGGCGCACCCTCCTGTCTCAGGCGCAGCTTAGGCGCATAAAGCGCAGAAGCGCCGAAGTGAGAAAAGCGCACGCTTTAGTCGCATGGGCTGGGAAAGGTTTATCAGCCTAATTTTTTTGTTTGATCCTATTTTAAATAATAAGCCCATACTAATAATAAGATTTAGCCCGTCCAAATAACAGGTAAACACAACTTAAACCATACTTAGTCGTGGGAAAAGTCTTGCGCAACATGCACAGCTCTAAAACACATTCAACGAAGCCATAAGGTGTCGTCTTCTTCTTCATCTTCCCACGTTCTTTCTTCTTTTTCAGCTTGTAGTTTTCATTTATCTTGTCATCTTCTTTGTGATCCTTTCATTTTGTTCTTTCAGTCTATCTTCTTTCTTACTTTATTGTTCTTTTTTTACTTTATTGTTCTAATTTCATTTGATTGGATTATTTGTCGCATCTATTTGCTGGGCTGATCATTGATAATTTTATTCTTTATGTGTTCTGGTTTTTGAAATTATTGAATTGCTAAACCTGCTCCAAGTAATATAGAGTATAATGAGTATACAGTACAACATATTACAAATGATAAAAAGAGTAAGCTGATTAATACGCTTAAGTTGTTAAAGTTGTTATATGCGATGGTATGATGAATTTTACAGTTGCAAAGTACACTGATCTTAAGCCTTTGGTTTTTCCAATAAGACTTCACTGAAATAATATTTCTTTCTTTCAGTTCCGAATTCCAAATTACGTGGGACTTCATCTTCAAATAATAGATCTCAGAAACTTAATTTTGAACGGGAAATGGTGGGGCAATGGAGGCTACAGATTACAGGTTTAATCCACGAAAAACCCTAATTGTTAACCAAATCATATTAGCGAATTCCTACATTTTTATAAAACCTGATCCGAACTTTTCATTGGGTTTTGAACATAGTTACATAGATCGCTACAAGAGCCACGATCTGCGAACTGATCGCTCCGTACCCAATCGCGGTACGAAAGCGATCCAGTCGCTAAAGGGAACGCGATGCGGTACGCTTGGCTACTGGATCCTAATTGCAGTTCGAATCGATAACAATCGCTGTACAAATCGATCGCAATCATTTTTCTGTTCGATCGGAAATGGTTTGCAAGTCGTTCTCCAAAGCGATTTCCCAGCAACACCCTTTTGGCACTCTGACTCGTCGTTCCTATCAAACGCACAATTTCCAACTCTAAGAGTGCTTCGTTTCCAGAGGCTTGTACAGGTGTACGTTTTTGTTCCAGCCTCTTAATTTTCTGATCCAAAAGGCTTGTACAACTCTACGATTTTCTAACTCTTATAAATGACTCTGTAAGTTAAAATGTTCTATTTTATACACCGAAGTCCAAACACTCTACTTTTGAGTCAATAGTTTCTATAATATTAATGTTTTTTTATTTTGTTTATCGTTATGAAAGTATATTACGAAATATGTTTTTATTTAATGCTATGAAATCTGTAATTATGTTTTATTCTTGTACCAAAACATAAGGTACTGCGTACTGAAGGTAAGGAACACCGTACCGAACGCGTACCGAAATGAACCTACCCCCCTCCGAACCGGATACGCTAGACCTAGTGAACCGCGTTCCCGTTCCTCGTTCCCGTACCGAAGCGTTCCGCGAACTATGTGACTATGGTTTTGAAACACCTAAAACAAAAACAACAAATCTAATTGCATAACCAGATTACCAGAAAATTAAGCAAAAAATCTTATGCACGCGCAGCAAAAGAATCTTTGCATTACGAGGCTGACTAGTTTAAGAGCGAGCTACCTCAATAGCATATGGAATTGGCCGGCGGTGGGAGAGGATTTGTTTTTGTTGAGCCGCCTCCCTTAGTTTCGTGATAAATGAAATTCCAGTGCATAAACCAATCAAACCTTCATCTTCGCAGAAACTGGGAAAATGTAAATAAAGTGTGTTTGTTTAGAACGGAGAGAAGTATTAGGTTAAACTCATTTTATTTGACTTTACAAATAAAAAGGTTATAGGACTTTACAAATTGAGTTTTTTTAATCCAAACACACTTTATTTACATTTTCTCAATTTCTGCGAAGATGATGGTTTGATTAGTTTCTGCACTTGAATTTCATTTATCGCGAAACTAAGGTAGGCGGCTCAACACAAACAAATCCTCTCCCACCGCCGGCCAATTCCATACGCTATTGAGGTAGCTTGATCTTAAACTAGTCAGCCTCGTAGTCGAAAGATTCTTTTGTTGCGCGTGCATAAGATCTTTTGCTTAATTTTCTGGTTATGCAATCAGATTTGCTGTTTTTGTTTTAGGTGTTTCAAAACCCAATGAAAAGTTCGGATCAGGTTTTATAAAAATGTAGGAATTCGCTAATATGATTTGGTTAACAATTAGGGTTTTTCCTGGATTAATCCTGTAATCTGTAGCCTCCATTGCTCCACCATTTCCCGTTCAAAATTAAGTTTCTGAGATCTATTATTTGAAGATGAAGTCCCACATAATTTGGAATTCGGAACTGAAAGAAAGAAATATTATTTCAGAGAAGTCTTATTGGAAAAATCAGAGGCTTAAGATTAGGCCAGGGACCGGTTCGGTTCTAGTTAAAATTTATTAGAACCGTTTTGAAAAATGCAATTTTTAAAATTGATTCGGTTCCAATAAAAAAAGCAGAACCGTTTTAGAACTGAACAAGGTTTAAACGGTTCGGTTCCGGACTTTTTAGGTTCCAAAGAATAGTGTAATATTTCTAAAAACAAACACAATTTAATTTTTTTAATGGAAAAATTCTTTTATGAACATCAAACTGTCCAGAACTAGTACATCTAGGCAAAAATTATTCATATATAAGATTTGACAAAATGGTTCATCCAAGTGTGAGCACTCATTATTTTCTGAAAGCTGTTTTAAGGTCCGAATTCTTTAATTTGATGGAAGCTGATTCCAACAGAGCAAGTTACATTCAACCGGTTAGCTCAGAAACTGAAAGCACATTACTAAACCAAGAGAATCTGAGTGTCTATATATTCTTCATGTCTACATAATCTGTGATATGATGAAATGAGTGATGAGTGTCTATATATTCTTGATGTCTTTCTCGAAAATATTAAGTACTTGGATCAGAAATTCATGTTGTAACAATCAATTTATTGCTTTATTAAATATAATGGTGGACAAATATATTATTCCAATAAAATTAGCCTTTAGAGAGAATATCACATTGAAAAACCTGTAAACAAATAGAATAATCATCCCGCTAGATTTGATCTATTCTGAAACGAACAAAAGTGATAATGAAATACTCCAAAAGAAGAAATTGAAGTAAACCCTAGATAGAGTTCAAACTGAAAAAATAACTCCAGCTAGTTTCTTAGACACTATATTGCAAAGATTAAACCATATTACCATCTCACATAGAGATAATTACTTTAACCACCCATAATAGGAAATAAGGAATAAGGAAAAACCTGGATGATTTGAAGACCAAGAGATGGAGCACGATTTAGAGGTTCAATGTCAAAGCTTAGAAGGGGTCGTTCAATTCATGGAGAGAGGGTCGCTAGAAGATTCTTGGAGAGAGGGTCGCTCGATTTGGAGGAGATTGGTCGCTCGATTTCCTTGGAGGAGATTGGGTTAGAAGACTTCACTATTAGCTTAAACTTTCATATCCTTATTATTTAGTGGGCCGGTCCAGCTTATTACTCGTATGATAAGTTAGGCCATCAGGGATATATCTATAGATAATACATTTGAAGGATACAATTAAGGAAAGTATATGCCACATGTCATGTTCTAAACAAATCTTAATTGAAACGTCTGAAATACCTTTCTAAGATTAGAATTCATGTTAGATTAGAATTCAGACTCATCAACACGGTCATCATTAAAATTTGATTTTAATGGAATAATAAGGGCATCCTCATTGGTAGGATTATTAAGAGATTAAGTAAGTGACATGGCAGATTTTTTGAAGGAGCATCATTGAGAGACATAAATTATTTAATGAGATTATTTGCTATAATAATCCGGGATCAAAATATGAATCCAGATTATTTTAAGATTATTTAAAAAGTATATGTAATAGAAGTTAATGCAGGAACGAAAAAATCTGATTATTTGAAGATAATGGTTGGGAGACATAAACGAATATTGAGATTATTTAAAAATTAATTATATAACAATATTTAAAAGGTAAGAATAATAGAAAAAATTGATTATTGGAGATCATGAATGGAGATGCTCTAATGGATACAAGTGAGATGCAAAACCAAATTTGATTCTAATTGACTAAGGGCATCCTCATTGGTAGGATTATTAAGAGATTAAGTAAGTGACATGGCAGATTTTTTGAAGGAGCATCATTGAGAGACATAAATTATTTAATGAGATTATTTGCTATAATAATCCGGGATCAAAATATGAATCCAGATTATTTTAAGATTATTTAAAAAGTATATGTAATAGAAGTTAATGCAGGAACGAAAAAATCTGATTATTTGAAGATAATGGTTGGGAGACATAAACGAATATTGAGATTATTTAAAAATTAATTATATAACAATATTTAAAAGGTAAGAATAATAGAAAAAATTGATTATTGGAGATCATGAATGGAGATGCTCTAATACGGAGTAATTGAAACAACACGCTTGAGATTTTCTAATTCATATCTTCTTATCGGATATTACTTTGAAGGTCATAGAAGAAGAAACGAAAATTTCTGTTCTGTATAGTAGTTAAGGTTCCTAAAGTTTAAATAAATCTACCTAGGACATTAAAATTAAACTGAACATGACAAAATTAAGAGCCCGTTTGGTAGCACCAAAATCGGCTGTTTTGGCTGATTCTGCTGAAATTTATGATATTATGGCTGGAGTGGCTGTTTTGGCTGATTCTGCTGATTTAAGAAAAAAATATTTTAAAAATATATTTTATTAATAAATTAAAGAAAAAATTATATGTAAAAATAGCTAAAATGGTCCTCTACAGTAACTTCAGCCAATACAGCCAGAAAAGTAACTCCAACCTTACTTTTTCGGCTTATTACACAATTCAGCGCGCGAAAGTAAAAGTTACGTGTTTGGTGAAAAAGCTGGCTGATGAGCCTGATAAGCCGAAAACAGAGTTCTCCAAACGGGCTCTAAAAGTATCTTCATGCCCCGTATTTTATGGCTAGGAAAAAGCTTATATGTCTAGCAAACCTTTTCACCAATTATATAATTTTGATTTGGCATGTTGATCGAATTGTATAATTATAAAAAATATTAAGGCTGAAGATACTTTTTTGACTAATAGATTGAAGTTACTAATAAAGGATAATTATATCTAGGGAGTTTTCCCAAAACAGGGTTTGAAATTCTAAAATATGACTGCCTAAATTTTTTTTAGAGTAAAATGACATTATTTACTGTCATCTTTAAGTCATGACTGACAAATACTTGGAGTACTAATTGTGCATTCAACAATCAACATGATAGTATTTATTATAGTTAATGACAATATTTTTACAATCATGACAATATTTCTCAATCATGACTGCAACGACTAGCTCCTATTACGGGATGAAAAACATAGTAGTCCTATTTTAGAATTCCTAAAATTGTTTACTCCTATTTAGGGTAATGTTCCTTATACCTATTGTTCATATAGTTTTAGAGGTTGTCCCGTTTTTCTAATTTGAATGTTCTGATCTGAATCATTCTAATCTCATCTTATCTAATTTGAATCTTTATAATTTGGCTTGATCAGAATTTTTTAATCTGGTTTTTTCTAATCTGATCAGAATCTTTTTTATATGATCTGATCATAATATTTCTGATCTGACCGAGTGCTTATTATTATCAAATTATTATTAATATTATAATTATAATTTTAATAATAATATTATCAATGATGATTATAATAATAATTATAATTAAATCAGAATAATAAGCACTCAATCATATCAACAATATCGTGATAAGAATTATAACTATAAATATAATATTAATAATAGTTTAATTATATTATATTTATAATTATAAGTATAATTCTAATATTAATAAAAATAATAATAAGCAGTAAGTTATATCAAAATTATAGTTATTATCATAATATCATTATATTATTTATTGTTATCCTTATTTGTAAAATTACGATTATCATTATTATAAGTGTTATAAACTCTAGAGTTAATTACTCATATAGGACAAAAAGACTCATCAAATGCTAAAATAGGACTGATTTCGTGTGTTATGTTTAGTAGGAGTCATTTAAGCATGAGTGGACCATAATACCCTTATTTTAAATACTCCGTAATGAATTGCATTTCATTAAAGCAGATAGTACGCTCCACCTGCGCCACAAAAATATTTAGCCAAATTGGAGATGCAGCTTCCCACACCGGCGTTACCATACGCCACCACCACCACCCTCCACCGGCGCCATCTACCGCCACCCCTCGCCGGCGCTATCTGCCGACGCCACCAACTGCTGCAACCCTACATCATCACCGCCGCACAACTGGTGTTGCCATCCGTCGCCGCCGTCACAACTCCCTCATTGCCGCCAATGTTAAATTCGGGGCCACCACTCACCTCTGAGCACCGCCGCCGTCACAACTCCAGTGTCGTAGATTTGCCATTAAGTTGGCAGATTTAGCTTGAAGGTTGATTGCAAATCTGCCATTAATATTAAGTTGGCAGATTTGACTGATATGCCAAAAAGTGGCAGATTTATCTTGGAAAAACACCACAAATTGCCATACTTTTGGCAAAAATATGAAATACCAACCAAATATTGAAAAATAATTTTTTTGAATGCAACAAACACTCTAACACAATAAAAACAAAATTACGAAGCTATTGACAAAATATTAGATAAGCAGATTTTCAAAAAATATGTTCTGCCAAAAACGATAGTCAGTGTGTTCATTTTTTCCATAAACTTGGCAAAACTTTATTCCATCATTTAAAAATCCGGAAACTTGAAATTCATTAAAAATACTGAAATTTGAAAACGGAAATGCAAAACAGAAGACCAAAAATCAACAAATCGAATTTCAGAGCAAAAAAAAAAAAGATGAATGGAAGAAAAATCAGAAAAATCAATTTCAAAGCCAAAAAAATAGAATAATAAGAGGAGGAGGATGAAGAAGAAGAAGAGGAAGAGGAAGAGGAAGAGGAAGATGAAGAGGAAGAGAAAGAGGAAGAGGAAGAGGAAGAGGAGGAGGAAGAAGCGGAAGAAGAGGAAGAAGAAGAATGAAAACTGACCAGACGGCGGCGTGTGCAGGGTGGAGTTGTCGGCAATGTCGGTGGCAAGGGATGAGGTCGGAGATGAAATCGATGTAATATGCAGGGCAGTTTGAATCGATCGATCTGATGAGGATTGAGAAGAAGATGATTGTGCGAAGGCCGAAGGGGGAGAAGAAATTGATCGATGTGTTATGCGGTGCGATTGAGAGAAGAAATTATCAAGATGTGTTTTGGGGGTGTGGATGCATCGGATAACAAAGCAGGGGCAATAATGGAATGATAAATTCCTTATGTTTATAATAGGAGTAATTTGGCCCTATTTGGGAATAAAAACATAAGGAGTCCTATTTTAGATTTTTATCGTAGTTTTACTCCTATTTAGAATAATTTCTATAAACTCTATTATATTACATAGTATTACCGTAACTATTAAATTATAAATATACCAACCACTTTCATTTCTATTTATATATAATAGTAACATATAAATATAAATATAAATAGCAATAACAGATCATTAATCATTAATAAAATAGTATGGTGTAGTAATAATATCGTGATCGATAATAACCATAGCAACAACACATGATGTTTTGTTAATTAATAATATATTTGGGGGACGTAGCTCACATTAGGGGTGGGCAAACGGGTCTTGGAACCGCGGTCTGGTCCGGGTAATGGTGGTTCGGGTCCAAAACGGGCCGGTTCCATTTTTTGTTGTCATAAAACGGTCCGGGTAGGGTCGGGTAATTTTTTTTAAGGAACCGGACCGGTTCCAAAATTAAAAAATAACGGGTACCCGGCCCGGCCCGTTATATCTATTGTATATTAATTTATTAGTAGTTTTGTGATAATCGGTTTTGAAATAGTTTTGTTTCCTTGGCTAGAAGTAGGATTTTAAATTGAGTTGCAGTAACATCCTTTTGTTTTCAAATTATTGATTAAATGTTTCATAAATATGTTATTACTTTTTATTGTTATTGAATTATTCCTTTCTATGCAATTTAATTATTTGTTAAAGATGATTTTGTTATATATTTTTTATTATATTGTTATTAAAATATATAAATTGTGTTTACCACCCACCATGTATGTGTCAACTTTGGCTAGTACTAAAAATTTAATATAAAAAAAAAGCAATGACTTTAATATGTGATGTTAGACAACATGTTTAAATACAAATGTTAGAAAATATGTATTTTGGCTATGTTGTATATTTTTGAAATATCTTTAATTGTTTGAAACTTATATACAATAAATTATGGAGTATTGGACTTTTCGCTTGTGTTGTATGTGCACCACTATGTTGTTATTTTGAAACTTGCTAATGTCCTATATTACTGATTATTGATTTTTGGAACTTCGTGAGTTTTTACTAATTTCAAGACATGAGAATAGAAACCGTAAAACCCGGACCGGACCGACCCGTTTCAAACGGGCCGGGTAATTTCCGGTTCCTATTTTGAAAATTGTAAT